GTAGTTTCCTCATCATTAACTACTGAGTGCATAAAGTAATCAGTGTACAATGATCTATATTTGAGAATTGGATTTGTTTGTTTGGTTCTACTAAATGCCTGTAATTCTAAAATATCAAAGTATTTCAGAATTGATTTTTTAAAATTCAAACTTAAATAATTTTAAAATAAATAAAATTACATATATTCGAATACTTCACTTAAAGGTATTATTAATTTTTATAAGCATATATGAAAAACAAAAAAAAATACTATAAAGTAGGGTTTAAATAAAAAATGTGGACAACTAGCTTTATAAATGGTGGGTTAAATTTTATTGGTTTTGAGTGACTTTTTATTGCCACAATTTCAGGTATAATCTCTTATTAAATAGTGAGATTATTATCAGTTTAAGTCAAATGTAATTGTAATTAGTGGATTTTTTTTTTAATTTTGATGATCAAAGCTTCTATATAAATTTAATCATTTTTAATAAAAATAGAGTTTTTATTCATAAAAGTAGAGTTTATTTATTTTATTTTAGTTAGAATTATTTTTTTAAGTTTATAAGTCATTCAAGAATATTTTGACTGTGTTAGATGACTTTCTTATCTTTTGTACGTTCACCCTCTTAAAAAGAATGATTTTTTTTTTTCATCTTTAATATTCACCTATTGTTTTTCGTTGACCCGAAATTCAAAAATTCACTTTTGTCCAAAATTATTTTGTAGTTATATCTCTCTCGTTCTATCAGAACAAATTAAGTAATTCTCCAACTTAACTTGAAATTTAAAACGTAAATCTTTTTCTCATTTTTGAAATTCTCTCAATTAAAGTTATATAATTCCATATATCTGAGTTTCTTAGATAGTGTGTAACCTAAATTTCCGTAAACTTTTTAATTCACCTTCTCATTAATTTTTCAAATTCAATTCAAAGTTCTAACCCTATAAATAGTGAAAAGGGTTTCATCAAGTATATTTATCATATTGAGTTGCAGTATTAAATACAAAGTTATATTAAATAAAATATAAATTTAAGAAAGTTAATGAATTAACATGACAGTATTTAAGAAGGCAGAAGCAGCAGTTTCAACTGCCAGCTTTGCCACCAATGGAGTTCACCACCAGACACTTCGTTTTGGCAATTATGCTGCTGATGCTATCACGCGCCCCGCACGTGTCCCCCGCCACACCGTGTCCCGCGTGTGGCAACACCACGGTGCCGTTTCCCCTCAGCACCACCTCGACATGCGGCGATCCGCTGTACAAAATTCGGTGCAGCTCCGGCACACTCATCTTCGACACGCTGAACAACTCGTACCCGATCGAGTCCATCGACGCGAAATCGCAGCGCCTTGTGATACGGCCTGCTGCGCTCGTGCAGAACACGTGCGTCTCCACCGATAAGGTGCACCAGGGGATCCAGCTCAACAGCACCCTCCCCTTCAACATCACCAGTTCCAACACCATCGTCTACCTCAACTGTACCCTCACGCTCCTTCAGTCCCCCCTCAACTGCTCCGCAGCTAGCGCCTGCAACGCCTACATCAATGCCACCGCCTCCGCCTCCGCCTGCCAGAGCGGCCTCTGCTGCACCTATCGTACTGGCGGCTCCAGCAACTCCTATATGATTCGCGTAAGAGACTCTGGTTGCAGCGCCTACTCCAGCTTCGTTAACCTCAACACGGCTCAACCTGTGAGCCGCTGGACCGAACCAGGTTTGGAGATTCAGTGGCTCTCGCCCAGAGAAACCGTTTGTGGATCCCAGGAGGATTGCGACTCTGCCACGTCGACTTGTGGGCCCGACGCCTCCTCTACGAGCGGGATCAAGAGGTGCTTCTGTCACGATGGGCTCGTGTGGAACCCCATCCAAGGGGTGTGTGCTAAAAGTGAGTTGTACAGGATTATACCCCTTCTCCTATTTCTTCTTACGTTGACTAAGTTTGGAATTCCGGTTTGACTTTTTATGCAGAAATTACATGCCAGAACCCAGACGGTTGTGGGGATTCAACTAATAAAAAGGTCATAATCGCAGGTATTAGTTTCGCCTTTTTGTTTTCCTTTTTAATCTCTCATTTTTATTTTACAAAAATATTAACTTGATTTTTAGAATATGAACCAGTTTAATAGACATAATGCATGTTTAGATTAAAGTTTATTGATGTATGGTAGGTGAATTACTAGTCGAGTTTGGATTAAAACGACGGTATTATTTTCATTATCAAATATGATGAGCTTGTAAGCGTAATTTGAAGTAACATATCTCAGTGAGTTTACTGAGAAATGTCATTTAAAAGAGGCCAAACGTTAAACCGAACAAAACACAACCGGATGTCGTCAGTATAAAAGAAGTTATATTATCAATTATCGGAAGTCATGTTTAATATAATTTAAGATAATTTTTTTTGTTAATTTTAAAAGATTTATCCTATTGTGATTAGAAGATAATGTATAACCTTGTTAATTAACATCAGCACATGTATTATTAATGTAACTTCTGGATTTTTTTTAGGAAAAAATGTAAATTTTTTAAGTCTATAATAATATATATTTGGATGACAATTGAAAAATTAATTGCGAGAGGATTCTAACTAAATTTTATGTATGAATATGGTATTGTTTAATAATAAGCCTTCTTGGTTTGCTATTTGTTAGAGGTGATTTTGTTTTGACATCTCTTTTTCATAGTCTGGACTAGTTGTAACACGGATTTCTTAAAAAAAGTCAGGGATGTTTCGTGCGGATAATTGGTCGTGCACTACATGATAGGTGAACACATAATTCATATACAACGAAATTGTTGAAAAAGTGCATTAATGACGGCATGTGAATTGAGTCTTTGTCAATAATGAAGGTCTGACTAATATAAATTGCATAGATAACAGTTGGAAGTTAAATACAGGTCAAAGAATCAACCTACCCAAGCATTGTGAGTTAATAGAAGAGATAAAATTTTAATTTGCGTGTAAAGAACTAAATAAATATGTACCGGTACATTTTTGTGTGAATTTAGAGCTGATAAATTGCTGGTATATTTCATCCATTGAAGAAAAGAAAAATATGTTCTCAGTATCCTTGATGAGTGAAAACTTGACCACGATTCTGAACAATGGTTCTTGTGGCCTCTTTCGTATGATGCACTATTTATTTACAATTTGATGGTAACAATGTGCAGGTTCAGTATGTGGGGCTGGAGCAGCAATCATCCTTGCCATCATTGCCTTTCTATTCTACAAACGCCACAAGCGCATCAAAGAAGCACAAGCCCGGTTAGCCAAAGAGCGTGAAGGAATTCTGAATGCCAGTAATGGGGGAAGAGCCGCTAAACTTTTCAGTGGCAAAGAGATAAAGAAAGCCACAAACGACTTCTCCAATGACCGACTTCTTGGTGTCGGGGGCTATGGTGAAGTTTACAAGGGCTTTCTTCAAGATGGTACTGCTGTGGCTGTCAAGTGTGCCAAGCTTGGCAACCCCAAAGGCACTGATCAAGTCCTTAATGAGGTTCGCATATTATGCCAAGTTAACCACCGAAACCTTGTCGGTCTACTTGGTTGCTGCGTGGAACTGGAGCAGCCTATTTTGGTTTATGAGTTCATAGAAAATGGTACCGTTCTTGATCACTTGCAAGGTCAAATTCCTAAGGGCCGTGGTTCGCTTAGTTGGACTCATCGCCTTGAAATTGCACGTCAGACTGCTGAGGGTCTTGCTTATCTTCACTTCATGGCTGTGCCTCCTATCTACCACAGAGATGTCAAGTCTAGCAACATTCTGCTAGATATCAATCTGAATGCCAAGGTTTCAGATTTTGGGTTGTCTAGATTGGCCCAGACAGATATGAGTCATATCTCCACTTGTGCTCAGGGGACCCTTGGGTACCTTGATCCTGAGTATTATAGAAACTTCCAATTGACTGAGAAGAGTGATGTTTACAGTTTTGGAGTGGTGCTTCTTGAGCTTTTGACAGCTCAGAAAGCAATAGATTTTAACAGGGCACCAGATGATGTGAACTTGGCAATTTATGTTCATAGAATGATGGAGGAGGAACTGTTGATGGATGTCATTGATCCAGTGTTGAAGAATGTAGCCAACACTATAGAGCTAGAGACTATGAAGGCAGTGGCATTTCTGGCATTGGGCTGCTTGGAGGAAAAGAGACAGAACCGACCTTCAATGAAAGAGGTAGCAGAGGAGATTGAGTATATCATCAGTATTATTACCTCAGCAAAGGTAGTGTAGTAGTTTATTTTGATGTTAATGATGTTGTCGAGTTGTCTGATGTTTTTGATTTGGAAACTTATCGCTGTTTGTTGTTGCTATACTAAATTTTGAGTTCTAGAATTCAGGATCTTGTTTTGCAAATGTATCATATCTATGTAAATTTATTATTACCTTTGCCGGATGAAAAGTTCTGATGTAAAACAATTGCAAAAGCTGTTTCAAATCCTCGTCCTGCTAAACTGAAGCATAAAATATTCAAGGTTTTGAAATTGGATTGATTTTATAGGTTTCAACACAAGCCATTACCAATGTCTGAGAAATAATCCAAGTTTATTAGCCTAATAGCTTCAGTTAGCTAGTAATTATTGAATTGACAAGACAAGCACTTGTACGTTACGTCTTGTGGACATTTTCGAAGAACCTCGTTGCCTTACACCTTTCTCTCGTAGGCGAGAATAATGAGAGTTTACCTCTTTTTAGCTTCCTTTCTTGCACAGAAATTCAATCAGTTAAAGGAAAGTAAGTTGATAAATACCAGTGACAGTGAGGATGGATACAACTATAATTAAAATTACAAGAGTAATGTCAAGATATAGGAATATTAGAGAAGAATGGAATGGAAGGCAAATTTGCAATTTTATTTGAATGGTAGCTGGATTGAGCTAGCGACCACATTCACAAACTTCCATTTTGAACTTCAAAACAGAAACAATAAGTTATTCTGAGGACTAATACCACTTCCTCAAAAGCTTATGAAAAACAATGTCACACTCTCTAAACATAGGTTAAAGCAACAGTGAATTTAGTGAAATATGGTTAATATCTTAGACACCCATCCACCAAAACCAGGTCCATCCTTAGAAGGTGAAGGTGCAGGGGCAGGTGGTAGGGTTGGGGGCAGTGTTTGGGGTTGAACTGTGATAACAAGCTTTTGGCCAGCACTGCAGTGACCTCCAAAACCACAAATGTACCATTTTCTTCCAGGAATTGCCAATACAATACGGTCACTTCCAGTAGTCAATGCTTCACTTGGTGGAGGAACAGTGCAGCTCTGGAATGCAGTTCCATTCACTTTGAATACATTGTGTTCTCCAACAGGATACTTGAATACTACAGATTATAAAATGAATACAGCATTAATATGGAGCACTTGGTTGTATTCGAATATAAAATAATTGAAATGATTCTTAAGTAATCATTACAAAAATCAATGATATTATGGTGTATTAGAATTAATGATTGGATGAAAATATAAAATAATTTGATGAGTTGAACATACCAAGTACGTCCCCAACAAAGAAGGTCTTATCAGCAGCCCAAGCAGAGTAATCAAAGCCTACTGTCCATCCATGATCATCCCCAACTACAATGTCCTTGGCCACAGCAATGGATGGGAGGAAGATGGTGGCAATGACCACAAGTATGGTGAGTGGTGAAAGAGCCATAGTTGGCAGCTCAACTTCTCCTTTATATATGAGTGTTTTGTTAATAAATGTCGATGTTGCTCATGTGCTGTGGAAGTGTGCAGGTTAGAAGTGATATATATAGAGCTCGGAAGAAGATAGTTCCAATACTGCGATTCTATGTTGGACACTTCAGACACAGACGGCTCAGGACGGCATGCCGAAAACAGAATAAACTTGATCTGCAAAGTGTCGTGTGTGTTGAAGGAGAATATAGCAATAGAGTAAGAAAAAAAATGCCCTATACTTTGTAGAAATAACCGATAAAAGGGATTCATCTAATCAATGTTAGAAGATTTTGACAGCACTGTGGTGTAAGGTTCATTTGACCAGTTCGCTTCTAACATAATGATGATCATTGACAAAAATACATGCAACAATCCTTTTATCATCCTTCCTTTCATATTTTCCAATATTAACTAATAATTATGTTTTCATTCAAACCCTTTTTTTTATATTAAAAAATATTAACTATTTATCATATTAAAAAAGAAACACAGTGTTTTTACTGTAGAAGTATTTTTAATTCAGAAAATTAGACTTTTATTTACAATGGAAATTTTTTTGTCAAAAAATAGTTAAAAGACATTTTGGAAAATATTATTTCCAAAGAATGTTAATTGTTATAAAGTTTAAAAAAAGAATGATAGACACATGTTTTCCATTTTCTATTTGTACAAATTTTCGAAGCTTTATTAGTAATCCTTCAATCCCATATTGACACACACACACACACATATATATATATATATATATTATTGCAACCTAAATCGTATGAAAAAGCGGACAAAAAATATTAGTGTGAAAAATAAAATTTTAGAATCGCTACAATAATTTATTCCGAAAAATTATAAAAAATCATAAAATAAAACATAATTTGCGAAAATTAGATTTTAAATCTAGGAGTCACACGGACATTCTAAAGCGCATGCACCAAATACGATAGTAAATGTGTAAAATGATGTAGTTTTTAAAAATATTTAATTTTCTTCAAAATAAAAATAAAAAATGTACTAAAAGAATAAAAAATATTGTTTAGCTGGATTGACAAAAAAAAAATAAAAAGAGGACTATTTGAAAAAATGTTGCTTTTTACATTTTTGAAAATTTTATATTTCTTGATATTTTTATTTTGAATGTCATACAGCATGAAATAGACACCAAAAATGCGATCAAATTTATAGAAGCCAAAAAAAGTAAAAGGGAAAGAAACATTTTTAATATATTTTTTTTATTATTTTAATCGAAAAGTTGCATGTGAACTGTGAATGAAGTAAATCACAAAAATAAATAAATTGGTGGTGCAGAGGGTAAATGAATGGTGTAGTAAGCATTATATGTATGGTGTGTGCAGTGAACATTGAGGTACAACAAGTAAATAGAAGGACAGATCCAAAAATACATTGGGGTGTGGGGTTATTACAAGTGTAAATGCATGAAGTAAAATAAAATAAGCAGTCCAATGATTAAAACAAAATGTGGATAAGATTAAATCAATAAATGTGATTGGTTAAAATGATTTTGATTAAATATTGAATTATAAAAAAATAATACTATTATTAATGAATTATTTTTCATTATAATTTTTATTAGTATTTTATTTAGATGTTGTATTATTTTCTCAATTAATATGATTTTTAAATACTTTATATTTTATTATCAGTATCATTAAATTATTTTATTGATGTTATTTTTTTTTTTGCTATTATGATTATTAGTTGTTGTAAATTTTAAAAAAAACATTTAGTAATTATATTTTTCATCCTTTCCAATCACCTCGTTTTAAAAGAGATAAAATCTTATTTCTCTTCCTCATTTATCCACAAATCTGACGTAAGAAACACAATGTCATTCCCACTTATTTCACCCATTATTATCCTTATATAAGTAATATATAATAATTTAATTAAATAACAATATAATAATACTCAGGCATAATTTGTTTTTATTTGGTATCACTTGTACATTATTATCAGATTACGAGGGGTTTGATGTTACAATTTCACAATTTCATTGAACAGTTTCCTCCAACTCCAAGATTAATCATGAGATATTATGACGTTCCACAGACTTTTTCTTTTGCTACAAACTTCTAATTCTAGTTAGAAGGATACCTATCATTTCTAACAAAAGTAAAAATAATCCATAAAAAACATGTTTAAAAAAGCACAACAGCCATGGAAACTATATATATACAGGGATTGAATTCCAATACCCTATATTTTTCTTAATTATTAAGTGATATTATATATTTCTTAATTATTATTTAAGTGATATTATATATTTCTACAAATTCTGTGACTAGCTTGCTATTCTGCAAAAAGAAAAAAAGAAGTCAACGCGTAGTTTTGTTTATTACACTCTGATGACTTTGACTGCAATTTAAAGAAAACACAAAAGAAACTTGCTTAGCTGATCACCATTTCTTTTTATTTTCACGAACCATTATTACAATGGAAATAGTCTAAACCCACAAATCCAGCTCCAGTGATAACTATAAAGACTTTTTATATTATCATATTATATATATATGTGTTAATTTTTTATAATAAACACTAAAAATTACAATAACATTGGTTTTTATATGATATTTTTTCAAGCAAGTTTATTTTTTAATGATAAAAAATAATATTTATTAAACTCTAGAAATTTCTAAATGGTTCAGTCAATGTTTATTTATTAAAGCTAGTTTCTGATTTGACCAGATTTGTAAGGGATGAATGTATACAAAGAGCCTTACCAAGAATGCTTGCCACCTTTTAGGATCTTTCAGTTGAAGCAAAATTGAAGGCTTTTGTTCAATTTTTTCAAAATGTTTAATAAAGGTTGTATATCTGTATCTATATATAATATATATTTTTCATGAAAGTTCTCAAAAAGCGTCCAAATATAAAACCATTAACTACGTTGAAAACTTGAATGAGAAAGGTATTATTTTATATATTGAAATTAACTCTCACAATAGAAACACGTAAAGTGGTTGTTTTGAATTATTGATTTAAAGAAATGGTTTTTTTGTTACGTAGAATTGCCAAATTAAAGTCGAAAACAATTTGGAATAAAATGGCAACTGGTTTTGCATTTATCTAAACAAGAAAAAGAACGATCCGAGAAAACATTATACTTTAGGAAAATGCTGGATTGGCAAATAAACTAACCATTATGGTTAAAAAAGATAAAATATATTTATATTTTTCTAATTTCTTAAAATTTGTTTTCTATTCTTCAAAAATACATTATTTTTGTTTTATAGGTATTATTCAACAATTCAGAAAAAATAAAAAAGGTGTATTTTAGGAAGACAGGAAATTTATATAAGAAACATTTTAAGTTTAAAAGATATTAAAATAAAGTTAAATGCATGATGGTGACTTCTTAATTTCCTAGTATCTTTCCATATATATTAATGTCATCAATCACAATACTATAATTGTGAATAGAGTAATAAAGAGTTAAGGAAGAAAATGAAATATGGAAAACCGTGAAAGCCGAAGCCACCGACGCTTTCACCAAACAAGGCCTAAGGTTCCTTGAGAGACTGAAAAGATATCCAATTAATTAATTATTAATCAATTAATTAATTATAATAACGATAAAAGAAACAAAAAAAGCGTGCGTGGTTATAGCAGTGTAAGGTTGGCGCGTATATAAACAAGGACGATGACGAGCGGTGACCAACGCCATTGTAACAGCTCACGTACTGAACCGTTGGGTTGTTCTTCGAGACCCACTCTGACTCGCCTGGTTGACTCGTTCGAGTTGGGGGGTTTCTGATTCGCCCCCAGACGGATCTCAATTTTTCCTCAGGTCAATTCTGTTCTCTTCGTCTTTCGATCTTTATTTTATTTATATATTTGTTACTGTTTGCTTTCTGCATGAATGGAGGTGAGGTGAATGTTTTATGTGGCAATGTAATTTGCGTTTGTTCTGATTCCGAATTGACGGTTCCTTCTTTTTTTTTTAATTCGTGTTTACTCCGTTTTGTTCTTTCATCACGCGGTGTTTGTGTGATTGCATTGTACTTTAGTCTCATCCTGTGTTGAATTTGATGAAAACAATTGTGTAGTATCAGATCTGGTGCTGTTGTTAAGTATTCGGTAATTTGAATTCTCTTTTGCATGGTGCCTTTCCTGCTTTGCTTCAATTTAAGCTTTTGTGAAGTATTGTATAACAAAATATTAAAAATACAAATACTACTGAAATTTCTGATACCTTGCATGACATAGTACATGCAATGCAAAATCGGGCTAGTCTCATTAGGCTTGGGTTCAATAGATCTAGAACATTCTTATGATGCATGCTTATTTGTAGAAGCTAGATTCTACAAGATAAAGACCAACAAAAAAGATTCAGCTAGATAAATAACTCCCTTGTATTTTCTCCAAAATGTGTTCTTTTTGAGAAATTCATTCCTGAAAATAGTATAAAGAAGGGGGCCTTTTCTCGTCAGTAATGTCAGTAAACTCAAATCTCTAACGCTATCCATTGAACTAATTTTGACAACAGAAGTCAAATTTGATTCTCCCTAAATCCAATATCAACCATTTATATATATGAAGATTAACTCCTCGTATGAAAGTATTCTCAATATTATACACACCATTTTATGTATTTTTTTCTCTAGCTCAATTCTTAACAGATCAAGCAATGTAGCAGAAGGTAATAGTTGGGAATCAATTATATATCACTGTTTTACATGTATCTTTCTTCAGTAGCCAAACTTATGTTCCTGTCTGGCATATTTGTTTCTCTCGTGTGGAACTAATGCAATGCACTTTACATTGAGGGCTTCCTAAGTGGAGATATTTTTATCATTGAAAGTTATGCAGGAATCTTGTTAATTTGAAATACGGAGACAGTCTCACCCTGAAATTATCAGAAAAATGCAAATGTTTGCCGTTTACTGCAATTCTGAGAGATAGCACAGTTTATAAATAAACCTTGACTAGATTGGACCGTATTTTTTCCTTCATTGAAAGCTA